TTTTATGCTTATTTCCATTTAAATTGAATAGATTGTCATTATTATTTGTTTTTTATAATTTTATCTAATTTGATCAAAATATGTCTTGCATAAGTTTTCAAAGTAAATGCTCTATAGATTTAAAATAAATAGCACACAGTGATAAATATTTAAAAGTACATATAATCAAATAAAAATATATATACAAAAAAATACACGCACTCAAATAAAAAATAAAAATAAAAATAAAAATATAGATATTTGATTAAAAATAGAATAAAATGGTCATACTTAGATAGAAAACATGTCATCATGCTATATATATATATATATAATTTAAGATTTTGAGTAATAAACAGCGAAACATATTTTCCAACATCTTTTCAATGTCATGGCCAACAACTTAAATCGGCGTGGAGATCAATTTATCATTTCCCCTAATTTTATCTCTCGGAAGTTATCACAACTGACAAACCGCGAGCTAGAGTTCTTTTATTATTTATTATTATTAGTATTATTATTTTGGGAGAAACTGGCCGGAGTAATTTAAGGCGGAAAGAAGTAGTAGCATGCTAGTCTTGGACTTGCAAATTGCAATTACTTCAAACGGCGTCGATTAAACTTAGAAGGGTTTCAACTTTCCAGTACGGACGAGACTACGACCAGGGGATTTTGAATTTTTTTTTTTTTTGGTTGAAATTTAATGGATCAAAGAAACAAAGTAGGAGGAATTTCAACAGAAACACCCATTCTGCAAACAATGGAACACCGAGAGTGAATAACAGGATTTCTTAGAAGATTGGCTTTGTACAATATACATCTGATCATGTAGATAGCCCAATCTACTTGCAATGGAGAACATCTTTCATTCCAATAGTGAAAGGCATTGGAGGAGAAATAAGCAATGCTAGCAAGACGAAAGTCACGGGACACAAAGGTGGGTTTTAAATGTTATTTAGCGTATGAGTGTGAGAGTTTTGAAATGAATTTTAGGTCTTATTTAATATGTAAGTGTTAGAGTTTTGAGAAGAAAAATGTTTCTTTTACTAAAAATTAAAAGTTTTAAAATCTAAAGTTCTTTATACATAAGATTTTATAGTGAAAACAGGTGATCTATGACCGCTAGAATCATATCACATCATCTAAGTTTGAACAGATCATATTTAACTTCATCAACTTGTTAGTAAAAAGTAAAGAAATTAACAATTAAGTCTTTCTTTAACATACTTTTCTATAAGCCCATTAAGTTAATCTCCCTAATGCATTTTAAAAATAAGACATGTACATCAACTTTGTTAAAATACTCGTTTCTATTCTTACGATCCAAGACTTTGTGTTGAATCGGGTTCATTTTTAATTCAATTCATTTGTCGTGCAATTTAGACTTATATATATATATATATATATATATATATATATATATATAACCACAAATTAATACAGAATAAAAATTAGTTAAATTAATTAAAATATCGATCATACACACAAGCTCCTTAAACTCTTGCCTTTTAGCATGGAAGCAAGAATGCTACCAACAGACAGCCAAACTTTATGAACAAACACCAAATATTTCTCATAATCATCGCAGCATTCCATTCCTGAAACTTTTTCAACCTCAAACCTCCCTCTTGCTTGGGAAGAGTTGCACAATCCCAAGCAATTTAGTCCCACAAAGCAGACCCTTTCTTGCCTTTCCATAAAAAAGGCGTTGCATTTCCGCTCTATCACCTTGATAACCTGGTTGGAATAATAAAAATAGAACTACTGTAATTCTGAATGCTAAAAATCACTGAAGAGATGAGTTGCAACCTACCAGCAAAAGACAAAAGCCTTGAAGCACATAGCTGCATTCTAAAGGAAATTTACTCCAAAAGTGGCATGCAATCAGAGAAACTGGGTCTGCCAGTAATAAGAGGTATCCCCAGATACCTTACTGAAAGTTTCCCAAGCTGAAAGCAGGATGTTGTTTCGAAGGTCACCAACCAAAGAAGTAGGGTTGCCAAGACAAAAGTTCTCACTCTCTGTAGAGTTGAACCCGAGGCTAGATATAGGCTAAAAAGACTCAAGACAGAGGTAATACTTCTAATGGAATCAAGAGTTCCATCAGTAAAGGTCATCAAGTCATCCGCAAAACTCAAATGAGACAGATTAAGCTACAGCTACATCGAGAAAACAGGATGAAACCTCCATAGTAATGACAAAGAGGTATAGTGAAAGTGGATCCCCTTGCCTTAGGCCCCTCTTCCCTCTGAAATAAACATATAAACTGCCATTCATCGCAATAGAAAATCCAGCACTTCAAGGACATTGAGAATGAAACCCCAGTGTATAGAGTCAAAAGCCTTCATTAAATCAATTTTCAAAGTGCAAGGACTCATATTCATCCTATGATACCCCTTAACGACTTGTTGAGCCAGCAACACATTATCCCCAATTCTCCTACCTTGAAAAAGGCCAATTGATTAGGACTAACAAGAGAAGGAAGACGTGACCTTAACCTATTTGCCAAAATCTTGGAAGTGCATTTTGTACAGAATTGTGCAGCAAGAGATAGGTCTGAAATCAGTCACTTTGCTCGCATTTGGGACCTTTGGGACCAAAGTGACAGAAGTGGAATTCACTGCCTTAAGCATTTTTCCACTTTGAAAAAAACTCATAGCTGCACCAGTTACCTCTACACCCACAATCCCCCAACATCATTTAAAATTCTGCAAAATAGCCATCAGGATCAGGGGCCTTATTCCCATTTAAAGAAAACATCACATATTTAATCTCATCAGGAGTGATTGCTGCCGTTTATAACTGCTGCTGAGGAAAGGACAATTTGTTCTTGGTAAGGCAATGAAGATGATCTGATCTTTCACTACTAACATTAGCATCTTCTTTAAAAAAATTGTTATAAAAGCCCACAATCTCTTTCTGGATCTCTTCACTAGAAGTCAGCTGAACACCATTAGTATCATATAGTACTGAAATTGTGTTCTTCGATCTTCTAGTTCGGACCATTCGAGAAAAGAAAAAAAAAGCATTCTGGTCACCCTCTTGCACTCAAGCAACCCTGTACTTTTGCTTAAAAAATGATTCCTCAGCTGCGGAATAATTGAGCGAAATACAAGACAGATGCTTCTCTTCATTAGCAAGATGGATGGAAGGAGCCTTCATTAAGCTTACTTGAATAGCCTCCAAGCCTTGCTTTTCTCACTTCTTCAGAAATATCACCATAAAAAGTGGCTTTAAGATGGTCAAGAGGCAATTTTAAGAGCCTGCAATTTTTTCCATGCCCTAAACATTGGAAACCCCTCTTATCTCCATATTCCAGATATTAACAACAATCTCATTGAATGAATCCTGAGATGCTCAGAAGTTAAAATGCTTAAAGGGCTTAGGAAGAGAATCTCTAGTAATAATTGTCTTCACTAATATAAGAGTATGGTCAGATACACCTGGATTTAGAAAGTCACCTCGATAAGTTGGAATGCTTTTAACCAAGCATCATTGGTAAGAATTCTATCCAGCGTTTTCTGGATAGCATTTGCTCATTGCTTGTTGTACTAGGTAAAGAAGTTCCCAGTAGTTGCCAAGTCAAACAAGTCAGCATCCTTAAAACATGCATCAAAAAGCTTCAAACATGCATCAAAAAGCTTCATATCAGCCTTAGAATAATCAACAATGGAAGTGGCTTCATCAGAGCTTCTGATTATGTTGAAATCCCCCATAACCAAAGACAGTCGTTTAGAACAGAGCTTAGAGCTCTGGTGCTCTTTAGCAACTCTTCTTTCATGGTAGAGTGCATAACCCAAACAAAGGTGAGAGATGGTAGACATAGTTCCCAACAGCATCACATAATTGACAATGTATAAACTGGGCATGAATTTGTAGATTATGCAACTGAACCGAATGCTTCCTTAAAACCCAAATTCTCCCCTTATCAATACATTCATAATTATGGCACCCCTTCCAATTCCCAAAATTATTTTCACAATATTCCCTGCATTGTGCTGTTGCACTCTGGTTTCAACAAGACTAAGAGCATCAATAGTAAGAGAGGAACTCAGCCTACTGACCTCTTTTGTTTGCGGGAGAGACTGAACCCTATAATATTCCAAGATGGAATATGAAACATTAGGTGGTTCCTCGATTCAAACAACTCCACCTATTGAGCTCTTGTTGCCAGCCTTTCCCTTACCCTTTTTCTTCACGTTATTGTTCCTGGTTTTTGGCTTTAACTATTCAGTGACAGCAGCAACATTATTTGAAGCTTGCCTGGTTCTCCTTGGTAAGTTAACATTGCTAGAAACAGAAACAGAAGAACAAGAAGCTCCTTCAGTTTGCATAATCATCTCATCAGTAGTATTCTTATTAAAGACATCAGCTACGCTAACAAGAATAGCTTTCTGAACATCAGTAATCATCAGTTTAGTTGCATCTCCTTTTGGTTCAACATTAAGATTTTCTGGTAATACCAGAATATTAAAAGGATTCTGCCCCAAAACTTCCGCAGTATGCTTAGCCAGCTCCTTATTAAGAACAGGATGAGTAGTTTTAGGCACCCATTGTTGCTTTTTAATGATTTCATTAGTAGTCCCCACATCAACCTTTTGTTTTTTCTGTTTGAGGCAAGCATTACTTGTATGTCCAATAAAATCACAACCATCACAATACAAAGGTTTCCACAAATATTCGACATCAACTTTAACCGACTCCGGTAACTTTTCTGTGATATTCACTTCCATACACACCTTGGCAAAAGATATTCTTCTCCACAATTGAGTGGCTTTATCCATATACAGTGGAATGCCAACAACACTGGCAATGCGACTTAAGCCTTCTCTTGTCATTAATTCTACAGGGATCCCCCATAACAGAACCCAGATAGGGACAAGAGTTATGCCAATTTCAACCTTCTGCACATTTGGTTCCCATTTTCCCAGGAGTAAAGGTATGTTGTTGAAATGCCAAGGTCCACCTTCTAAGACCCCATCCAAAGATTTGGCATTAGAGAAACGAAAAACAAACATACCTTAATCATAAATGACATCAATATTACCATCCCCGCCCCTTAGATTATTGACCACAGTAGAGATTGCCGAGAGCTTAGGAATGATTTCTGTCCAGAAATTGTCGCACTAAACATCTTAGCCATTTTCCTTGAGAGTTTAGCAACAAACTCACCTTCCTCCATTTGTACTGTGAAGCACCAGAAGATGAAGCTTCAGTAGCAGCAGCATTCCCCTCCATTGTCAAATGATTTTGAAAAGATTCAGCTACGTTTTTCCTTAAAGCTTCTGAAATCAGCCCATGACGTGGGCTTCACAGAGAAGGCCCTGCATCCTGCATCCAATCTATTAGGACTATTTTTTGGGCTAGAGTAAGTCATAGGCCCATTACCCTATAGGCCCGACAAGAGAGGCCTCTACCTACCTTTCCCTTCTTCAAATCTTTACGCGCAAAATCAGTTACTGCCACCGTACGTGCCCAGCCACCGGCGACGAGAAACCACCAGAACTGGTAAGAACTTTGCTCAACTTTAAAATTCTTTCCAATTCTCTCCTTCAGAACCAAAACCCCCCAAACACAACATAAAAACTATTTTACTGAGTGAAGCGGGACTTGAATTGAATTCAAATTACGCAACTCCGAATAGAATAGAAATGGATTCCATGTCGTTGGTGAAGGAATTCATAAGAAAAGAAGTCGCCGAATGGGACGACGAAATCATGGCGACAGCCCGATTCAAAGCATTTAGTGGGCAAAGATCCGATTGGGAACCCAAATACTTGTTTTGGAGAGATTTGATCCTTAAAATTGCTCGACATCTCGGCCTCTTCATTATTCGACCTTCTCAGGTATTTTCTTAATTAATGTTGTTTCTTAGTTAAGAGTTAATATCAATATTTTTGTTTAAAATTGTGAAGGTAAAGGAGTGGTTTAATCGTGGAGGTTTAACGCCTTTATGCCTTGACCATGTACTGGTAATTAACCAATTGAACTCTTTTCCTACTGCTTTTTTACTCTAAATTATTATGTTTATTTGAATTTATTTTTTGCAGTGCATAATGTTTAATGAAGGTGATCTTGTGCGAAGTGCGGATCTTGTGGATCCAAGTAGTGGGCGACTCTCTCAGTTATTCAGAAAAGTTAGAAATTTGATGGTCAGATCACCTATTACTCCAGAAATAATTATGCTTGAAGATCATCTCTTTCTTACACCATTGTTGAAGGTAGCTAGCTATTTATGTAGTAGCCAATTTTTCTTTTTCCTCTCATCTAGCTATTTACTTCAGCATTATTGTCGGAATTTTAAATCATGGGTTCGGAACCAGATGATCATGGCACCAAAAACTGTGCCTAAAGAGAGAGGATTTTGTATGGAATTTTACTCCTTTATATATATATATATATATATATATAGTGCTGATGTTTTAAATATTGAGACTATGAAGTTTGAAATTTCCTCTTTTGATGTCTAGGATAAAACTGCTGAAGTTGTCAAACTCTTATCTGAAAGTCATTGGACATCTTCGTGCATTATTACTATGAATAAGTTCCAGGGTATGTGCGGAGGACCAACTGAGGCAACTGCACTCTTGAGTTATCTTGCTGGACTTGGGAAAGCACAATATCTCTCAATTTCTAAGAAGGAGGTTATAGAGGTATTAAAATATATATATAAACACACTCATATTTCTTTGCAGATGAAATTATAAAGAACTTGTTGAGGTTTTATCAAATCTGCACTTTTGTCTCTATAGTTTAAATCTACCGGTTTTGTCCATATTAGTTTTTCTGAAGGTGATATCTTTAATAATATTGTCATCAGAGGATAGGAGGAAGAGACCCTGCTAAGCTAGAATATGATACAAAAGGTGATACTCCTTCAATCGGTTCTCTCTCTTAACATAAAATGGACTCGCTCTCTCAAGAATTTTTATTAGGACAAGCCTAGTTACATTTTAAATATTCAATTCTTAAAAAAAAAACCTTGACCAAAAGCTTGCTTCAACCTAATTGCATTAGAAGAAGAATTGCTATTCATTGTATTTCAGTTAATAAGGTGAGTAATTAAATAACCTGTTTGCAGGGAGTGAAAATTTCCCTTTCATCAGCATCTGTTCTTGCCATTTCAAATCTAGATTTGGAAGTTCTGCACTTGATTTGGACAACAAAAAAGCTTGAGGACCAAATTGATGTGATCGACAGACGATATGAAATGTACTTACTTCTCCTTTAACTTGTACGCATATACATTTTTGCACTAGGATTGAAGCTTGGATATAATTATTTATCCCAGATCTTAATTAACATACTAGGGCATCTATTTAAAACTAAAGACTGATAATGATGACCTGAATGTGAACTTGGACTAGCATTAAATTCTGCTTCACCCAGACCTTAAAATGATCATCACACTGGCATCCCATTTATCGAACAATTTGGGATGCCTAGTCCTAAACCCGTTCTAGAAAAATGTGGCCAGCTTTGTTAACTGTGGAAAAGTGGAAGTATCTGTGAATGTGTACATTTTCATCTCGCTTCTGTATTAGGATCAAATGTTGCTACATTTTCATCTTGTATGGTTTGTTTTTGAAGCAGCATTTCAATGTTGTAATTTGATAGGTCAATCGAAACTAGTTTTCCTGTCTCACAGTTTCAGTTTATTTTCTGTGCAGGTCGAGAAAATCAGCATTAGCTTCTTTGAGCTCTGGAAACAAGAAAGTAGCTCTGAGGCATGCTAGAGAGATGAAGGTGGCCTCAGAGGGTAGAGAAAGGTGCGCATCACTTTTGAACAGAGTGGAGGAAGTTCTGAATGTCATTGCAAATGCTGAATCTACAAAAAAGGTAAAATTTTGCTTTACTATTTTTGCAGTTAGCTTCCACTGCAACTTTAAATTTGAATAGTTGATCCACTAACAAATTCTCCCATTTATTTATTATTTTAAAAAAAATCACTTGTTTCTATAAATTATTTCTGATGACAAAGCAAGCTTTATGATCTAATGGGCTGATGAGTTCAGCTTTTGCAAATTGAAGGAGCCACCTTGCAAGATTTCACTGCAGAAAATCATAAATTTTTAACACTTTGTGCCAGGTATCTGAGGCCATCCAAATTGGAGCTCAAGCAATGAAACAAAATAAGATAACTGCAGAGGAGGTTGAACTCTGTTTAGAAGAACTTGAGGAGAGTATTGGTGTGCAAAAACAAGTTGAAAAAGCTCTAGGTATCCTCTCTGTCTCCCTCTCTCTCCCCTCCCCCTCTTCATGCCCTCACATAGACTGTAGGTGATGTGAATTGGAAATTCGTTACAGTTTCAACAAATTTAGTTTCTTTGATTTGTCTGAGATTTTGTTCTGTTTCAAATGCAGAATCAACTCCAGTCATAGGTATTGAAGATGATGATATAGAAGAGGAGTTCGAGAAATTAGAGTTGGAATTAGAAAGTGAAAACCTTCAAATTCCAAAAATAGAGGCTGGCAATACATCAGAAGAAAAGAATAGTTTGGAGTCCACTGACTCACTAACTGATGCTTTGTCAAATTTAAAGCTTCAAGATGGTTCAGCCAGGGAACCTGTAACTCAGAAGTCTCCATTGCCAACGGCAACTAAAAATTCAAAGCATTTGCTGCTTGAAGCAGCATAATTGAAATCATTCCTTATCGGAATGTTACTATGATCATTTTGTGCCGGCTACATATGATCCTTTTTTTTTCAGCCGTTTGATCAAGCTTTTGTAGTCATGTATATAACAATTACTTTCTCTGCATATTTCACATGTACATGCACAAGAAAAATATAATTATTAGGATATCTAATTTGACCATTCACAAATAATGGTTGCCTGAAGAATTGGTATGCATTCAATTTTTGATCCAGTCTGTACATAAGCTGCCATATCAATATGACTAGTGACTTGAATACTTTTTGAACAGCTAGTCCACAACATTTTGTTCTCTTAGGTACTCAAAGCAGCTTTTAAGCAGTCGTAACTCGTATGTGCTAAAAACAGTTCTTTTATCATTATTCACTACAGAAGCATGAATTTAACTTTGGGAATTGTTTGGTCTTATTTGTGGTTTTCGTTTTTTTATTTTATTTTTCTGAAAATATGTTTGTTTTGGATTTTTTTAGTGACAAAAAAAAAAAAAAAAAAAAGAAGCAAAACCATTTACCACAATTACAATATTTTGGAACTATTTTGCTTGGTTTTTTGAAAACAAAAATGACAAATTTTTTGCCAACCTTTTCTTGTTTGGAAAACAAAAAACAGAAAAAAATAAAAATAAAAGTGTTTTGTAAACAAAAACAGAAAATGATAAATGTAATGATACCAAATACAACTCCATAATTTTCAGTTTCTGCCTTGCTCCTCTGCAAAGAAGCTCTCTAGAGAGGAATTCTAATCGAAATGTCTTTTTGCAGAGTTTATACCTTGAGGGGGAGCCTCTGCATAATTCGATATGCTTTCTTTGTAATGATGAAGTTCATTAACCAATAAATAATCTAGGAAATTATGGAGGTACTAAGAAGTAAGGCCATTATCGTTTTTATTATATGGTAAATCACAATTCCGTAAAAAGCACCAATTTAAGATGTGAAATTGGAGAGGGAAAAGAACAGGCTGAAGCAAAAGCAACAGCTGCAAAAGGCAATCAAAAGATGACGATGTAGCTAACATGTAGAAATAAAGCTGCTCAGTAGAGAAACAAAAACATCAAGGCACCCTGATGCTGAATGATGAGAATGAGTAAAACGAGCAGACAAGAGCAGCAACCATAAACAGAGAGAAGCAACAGAGCCTAGAATTTTGCTGCCACACTGATTCTTGCAAGCGATACAATTTACCAAGCTCCACTCTCTAAACTTCATGATCCAACATCTCAGTATTAGAGAGATTTCAAGATTCCATGGGCAAGTCCAAACAATCTATTTTGTTTTCCAAGTCAGCCCTTTCATCGACATTTCCAAATTCATCGCTATTCCATTTTTTCGAAGCTTATTATAATGACTTCACACCCTTAACAACTTCGTTTGGACCCTCTTACTTTGAAAGAAGAAAAGGTTTCACAATAATGGGGAGCCCATATTCTGGCTTCGAAGTCAAGTGATTAGCTGGTGCATGCTTATACTCTGGAGATGGGAAAGAGAAAACTTTTGAAGCAACAATGAAAGCACCATTTTGGCTTCAAGCATCGCAAAATTCTGGCAATGCAATCTCTTGAACCCAATCCAAAGGCGAGTAAAGCACTCCGGTATTTTGCAGCATGAGATACTCCATTCTTGAAGCTTAATGGATTGAACTCGTTTGCATCCTCTTCCCAATATTCTTTACTCCTTTGAATCGTTACAAATGGTATGGTTGTATATACACCTTTTGGACCATCAAATTCTGTAATTTCATATCTTTTGATGCCTCTCTAACTGTTTCCAAGAAGAACCACTTTCACCTGCATATATTAAATAAAAAACCGTTCCTTAGTCATTTTACAACCACGCTTTGCTATAGTACTTGAAAGCAGAATACTGCATAGTTTACCGATTTTAACTTGGTTAGCATGTCAGATTCAAGAATTCCCATCCCGCATTCGCTTAGCACCTCTTCCCTAAGCCTGGCTTGCCAGTCTTGATGTAAGCTCAATAAGAAAATGGTCCAAGCTAATAGATTGGCACTGGTCCCGTGGCCAGCCAAAAAAAATATGTTTTGAAGTCCTCTATGATTGCATCTATGTTCAACTTGAGACTATTTTCAGCAGTTTTTTAAGGCTCCAATCGTTAAACGAAGTATATCATCTCCATAACATCCACCTAATTTCTTTTACATTGGACCGACTCAATTCTCTCCATTTTATGTGCCTTACTGAATTCTTCACTTTGCTGTCTAGCTTCCACATTTTAAAGTTTGATAGTGTAGGAAGAAATCTAGTAAAGAAAAATCAGCCAATCACAAGGCACAGTACCTGTAAAACCCCATGAAATCTTAAAATGTATAAGAAGAGAAGAATATTACAGAGTGAAGTAATATTACCGGCTGCCAGGGATGCCAATGTCTGTACTAGTAGCAATACTATGTTTTTGAAGCTGTTTTTGAGCTTTAAATGCTTCTCTTCCTTCAGCATAGCTACTTCCAAAGGCAGTATACTATGGGCAATTATACCAGCTGTAAGCTTTTGAAGCTCTTCACTCGTTTCTGTCGTGATACATTGATCATTCTCAACTATAAGAAGCTTATTTTTCCAAAAGTAAATTACAAAAAACACTCTATAATTAGGTAACGGTAACACTTTGCATCCTCATGTTTCTAAAATGACACTTTAAACTATGATTTTAATATTTATTTTATTAAACACTTTGTATTATAATTCTGTTTACAGTGTAAAAATTCCGGATAAAAAAAAGTCTAAATTATTACAAGTTTGTCATTTTTTTTTTAATGACAACGATGTCATTTGAAAGCATTTCAGAAAATATCATGTATTTTAATTTTGTCTTAAGTTGCAATATTACATCATAATAAATAATTATTAGCTTCATCAAGACAAACAAAAATAATTTATAGAACTCAACAACTAAATAATAGAACATAAAACATAGCTACTGAAAATACAAAAACACTACATTTTTTGTTATGTGCTTCAAATAAAAAGAGAAAAAATAAAATAAAATTCCCTGCCTTCTATTTATGGTTCAATAGGTTTTGTAATAAACTAACATTATAAGCTACAGTGGCACTTAAAAATTCAAAAAAATTAACACTCAAAATTAGGGTTTTTTTTTAAAGAAGTTTCAAATTAACAACTTAAAAAACTTTAAAAACCCTAATTTTTGAATGGGTTTTGCTCGAACAATCAAATAAAAGATAAATAAACAGTTTTGAACCAAAAATTAAAGATTAAAAAAAAAATAGGGTTTTTTTTTTTGGATTTTCAAACACAGTTAATAAAACATTCAAAACACCTAAAATCTTTATGGGTTTTGCTCAAGATTAGATAAGTAGAATGTTAATCCCAATATTTTATGGTTTGTATTTCAAAAATTAAAAAATTAAAATGACACTATAACATACTTAGTTTTAATTTTGAATCGGCCTCGATTCGTCTTCAATTTGGCTCTAAACAGCCGAACAAACATTTACTTAACAAGAAACACATCAAATCTATTTTTTTAAAGTGATTTACTTGAGAAATTTTAAAAAGAAACGAATAGGATTGATATAACTAACATGAGAAGTCTTATTATATAAGGGTATTGACATTATTTTATATGCTTTTTTCATTGTAAAAAATTTAAAGTATAAAATGTAATTTTTTTAGAAATAAAGATGTAGAGTATTTTCGTGGTCTACTTATAGAATGTTTTTAGTAATTTATCATTTATCATATATAGAAAGGCATTGTGGTTATTTTATATTTCATTTATCTGAAATTTAATCTTAAAAAATTCAGGATGTAAAGTATAGTTTTTAGAAAATAAGTATTTCCATGGTGTTTTTCGTAATTTATCATTTTTTTCCGATCATCAATCATCTATCTGGTACAGGCTGCCATTCTCTTCGTCATAACCTGGTAGACTCGACATATTGCCTTTCTTTTCTTATGATTTTGTATGCGATGCTATGTGAATTTTGTATCATACGCCACACATAGCATTATCCTTGTCAAAACACGCCAGCAACGCTGTCATCTCCCCAAATATGTTAAGCAAATGTCGTTCAAGCTTTGTTTTATTATTATTATTCTAATAAGCTGAAGATATATTATTAATAAAAGTGCACCATCAAAAGTGGAAAAAAGTAAAGTAAAAGACCCAGATATGAGGCAAAATCATGGGTTAGTAAATGTCATGCAGGATTGGTGTTTGAATGGTGATTGATGATTCATATAAACCCTTGCCGCCATAAATGCTTTAAAAATCTATATTTATATTTACATTATATATAATAAATAGAGAAAATAAATTGCAAAACAAGTGTGAAAATTCTAAAAATTAGCTTGATGGTCAAAGAAACATGATCTATTTATTGACTTTAATTCAAACTCTACCTATTGACTTTAATTCAAACTTTAAAATCAGTATTTAGAAAACTATTAAATTCGTTTAAATATGTTAAGTAAATGTGAAAAATATAGACCATGTGTCTATAAAATTATTTAAAAATAAAATTTAATATCCATTGACATACAAATTGACTGAATAAACTACTTATTGAACACCTAAAAAAAAAATTAAGGGCATTATGTTTTTGTCCTAGAAAACACCAGGGGTGCATTTTGCTGTCACCTTTTCACTCCACCGGCCATTGCCGTCTCCTTCCTCAAAACATCCTCACCAAATCTCAGCAGCCACCATTGAACCAACATATCCACCACTGCTTGCCTTTCCTTCAAAACTGTCATCCCTGGCCAAAACCCTTCGTATTCTCTCCTCTCTTTTCACCAACCACTAAACACATCGGGCCCAACAACGAAAAAGCCACCAGTCATCAAAAACCCACCCCACCCGCCACTGCCATCTCATTTTCCAAAACATCCTCACCAAACCCCAGCAGCCACCACACCCACCACTGCTAGCCTTTCCTTTAAGACTGCCATCAAATGACCCTTGGTCCATCTGTTTCAAGAAACAGAATCCAGACCAAGAATACGATTTGGTTGTTGGACAACATCTGCGGGCGATGAATAGGATCTACGGTTGAATTTGATGCCGCAAAAGAAGAGGGAAGAGGTGGACGACGTGTCGTTGTTGGCGATGGAGGAGGAGGATAAGAGGGAGAATTCAGTGTGGAGATGGAATTCTGCTTTAGAGTGGAGTCGTTTGGCGTCGAAGAAGACGAGGAGAAAATTAAAGGCGTGGGGTTTTGGTGGAGGTTAAGAAACGAAAGATTAATTGGTGAGCCATTGTCGTTTTTGAGGCTGGGGTTTCTGAAGGGAAGACAAGTGACATTATTATTATTTTTTTTTCATTTTTCACATCTTTTACAGATGTCTCACAAGCAGCTGCCACGTTATAACCACGTGTAAAATGGGTCTTACCACGAAGCAATGTGTGCATGTAACAAAAAAAAAATTGATAGAAAGTTAATGAACACACTTAATTAAAAAACATTCCCACTTATTTTTGTTCAAAAAAATAAAAAATAAAAAATATATATTTAATTAGAAAAAAATTAACAATTTAGTATAATGAAAATATAATTGTATCGCATAAGGTATCCTACATACAACTACTTAGTAGTATCTTAAAAAATAAATTTACTATTAAAACATTTATTATTTTTGAAGCATAATGTGTTGCATAATTTTGAATTGCTTAGCTACTGAGATTCAAATCAGGTCATACTAAGTGTGAAAAGTAAAATTATCATGAAAACTTTATTTATTTATTTTTGATAATATGAAAACTTTGTTTCTAATATTGCGAATGGTATCTAAATCGAAAAGAGAGACTTTTTTTTTTTTTTTTAATCTCAATATATGAAAGTTTGTCTGAAATAGAGTTAAGAATAATTAAAAGAAAAGTGTTCTCCTGTACTAATATCAAACAAACGTCTAGTTATTTAGTTGCCTGAAAACAATGTTCCATTGAAATAAAACTGAGTGACCGTAAATTGGCTGTTACGTACTGATGATAAAAATCCTACTCGAAAAAGTTGAATATGCAATATAATTACCCGAATATCTTGATAGACAAAGAAATCATTAATAGCAACGTCCCATTTAATTGGAATAATAACTATGGAAGGTTTGTCTAACTTTCTCAAAGGGAAAAACACTTTAAAATTATCTCTTCAGGAGTTAGATCGTTTTTTTGTCATTTTGTATTTTCTCTTCGATTTTATAATCTATCGGCCTAATACTTTAAAACCATGGCAACCTAATAAATTAACCTAATTTCTTGGGAAAAAAAACTCGAGAATCCATAATCAAGTGAATGTATCATAGAAAAATAAGAATATAATAATCTGAAATTGCTTAATGTTAAAAACTAATATCATGATCATTTCATAAAGCAACGATATTGAGTTTGTTAGACGGTGTGCCCGATTTCATAAGTTTCTGACACTCTCTATTAAATTTAATTTCTATCATACCAAGTGATTAAATTAATTTTAGCATCTAGATTTACTAGTTAAAAAAAAAATCATTAAAACGATCCTACTGCACCAGGATAATAAACAAGCATGTTATTAAATTAAGGAATTCAATTTCACTGGAATATTAAAATCAGTGAACGAGAATACCGTGAAAATAAATAAATATATATCAAGAAAGAAAATTAGAATCGGAAGTAATATTCAAGCCTTCTATTTGATTAAGATAACCTCATTCGTATTTAGCATGAAGGACAATCTTGACCGTTGGATTAGCATGAAAAAAAAAAAAAGTAATACAACCACGTTAGGATAATATGAACGCAATTTGGTCTTCCACAATTGTAAAACAATGATGTGCAAATTCCACTTAATTTTACCATAAATATATAGATCAGATGCTATGCCTGCGATAGCTGGGATGGACATGGCATAAAAAAAAAAATAGTACAAGGATTTATACTTTATTTTATTCTTTATCATATTGCATATAGAGTTTAATAATTGAAATCTATGACTCTCCTTCACTTACAACTCATATTTTAAGATCTTTCAAGTGGTTTAAACTCGAGGATCTTGATACCATATCAAAAAAATCTTCTCAATCCAAAAACTTAAATTTTATGATAAGCGAGTCTTTCACAATTTTATATATTACTCATTTTTAATTTAACTATTTAATATGGGATATGTTTTCTAACATCGTATATAAGCATTGAATAATGAAAAGTTAATAAAATTATACCAAAACAACACAATAGGCTAGCCTAGCAATTATGTATCCAATTAGCATTTTTAATTAAGCAAAGTTGAAGTCTTAATAATTTCAAAATATATATATATATGCAATGGAGAAGAGCTGTTTCATTGTATAGCCCAAAATTCAAAGGCATTTGATGAATTGAAAAAAAAAAAAAACAAATTATACCTAAACAAATGGAACTACAAAAGGATATTAAAGCACTGCTCCATATGAAAATGGCTTTTTCAAAGTTTCGAATTACCATCAAACAGAAAAAAATAGAAGACGCTCAACCATTATAGATGAGCTAACAAGGCCCTGGGAGAAAGGGGAAAGAGCTTTCATAATAGATTAAATAAGGCACCATGGAGTTTAAGGCTTGGATGAAAAGTGCGTCCAGCCGATGACAGATGCCATTTATTCATTTTTGTACTTTCTAAGAAAGCACACAAGGCTATTTTAGGGTTAATGGAAAAAAATACCTCCTTTATATTGCAATTTAGCAATTTCAAATCTTTATTATCAATTTAGTAATTTGAATCCAAGATATTAATTTTTAGGCAAATTTTATCCAAATCGTATTTTTTACATTATTTATAACAATTAACACAGCTTGATTGTTAATTTTTTTACTATTATTTTTTTCGCAATGAATTTTTTTAAAAATGTTAAAAAAAATTTTCTCTATTTTTCAAAAGAGATTCTTTCTATTTGAAATTTTCACATGTTAATCCCTTTGATTTTTCATAGCTCATCAAATTGTTATTTGTATGTAATTTCTTTTCAATTTTAAACAATTTTTATTTAATATCATTATCCATTAAAAAAAAATCAAATTCTATAATTAATAAAATATAAATATCTATTGGTTGAGTTTGATCAATTAAATTACCAAATAATTAATTTTAACTAAAAAATTTCTTTTGTCATGTCGATAAATTTATTTTTATAATTTTCAATCATTAAATTTTAAATACGAGTGTATTTATTTAATATTTTTTATCTTCATATGTTTTATAGGATTTTTTTTTTTCACAACTGATTCAAATATATAATATACATTTAAAATTATTAGAGTTAGAAAATCATTTTACAAAACAAACTTCATTTTATTTTTAGTTTTTTAAAGATAGGTTCAAAAAGTGAAAGCTCTTTTTCAAGGAGAACCAAAAAAAAAAAAATTACTGATAAATTTAATGATCTTTTTTTAATAGGTAAACAAGTGAGAAAAAAAAAAAAAAGGTCTCCGTTGAAAAATGGAGAAAAAGCATTTTTAATGTTTTTTTAAAAACATTAATAGCAAAAAAAAAAATTAATGTTCAATTGTTGGATAATGTTAAAAAGGGATCACCTACCATAAGATTTAAATCTTTTAAATAGAATCCAATCTTAATTATCGAATTTTTTATAGTATCAAAACTTTAAAAAGGCTTAATAGCTCAACAAAGATTCTCGAAACCTCAAAAAGATCGAGCCCAAGTCAATGTTAACTATCTAACTCTATTTGATATTAGAGCCTCAAAAAGGTCGAGCCAAAGTCACATGATCGACCCTAAAAAATAGATTGCAAGTGAGAGCGAAGTGTTAAAGAACATATCCAACGTTGAAAAGTTAAATAAAAGATAAATAATATATAAAATTGAAAAAATAAATCATCCACCATGAAGCTTAAACTTTGAGTTGTCAAAAAACCATATAAATCCAAACATTGAAGTTGTTGGGTGAGGCTCAAGGAATGGTTTTATGTTACTCTTTAATACACTCTTGTCCCGAAAATTGTTTTATATTACTTTCTAATAACCGAGTTAATCGTTACAAATAACAAAAAAAATATAATTTGGATAAGATTTATCAAAAAAATTTATATTTTTAATTCAAATTACACAAATTGATAATAAAGATTCGAAATTGCCAATTAAAATAGAACGAGAGTAAATTTTACCATTAAACCGTTTTTTTTTTGGAAAATGAATTTGTCTAGTATTTTTATTGATATTGCTGAATATATACAAGAAAAATTAACAATCAATCCTGAAAAAAAAATTCTACAAAATCTCACACTGATTAAACAGAAAAATACTAAAATCAAATTAAAAAATTCAAAATCTTGAATTATTCAAACTCAGGCAGCTGCAACCTTGATCTGTTTGCACTTCTTTTGCAGCAAAATATACAGACTCCTTCACTCCATCTTTGCCTATTTTGCTCCAAACTCCAAGCTTCCTTCTAAACTGTTCGAACTTAGGCTTTGACAAAGCTTTGGTCATAATGTCAGTAAATTGCACATCAATTATGTGGTGCATCAAAGGAATTTCCTTGCTTTTCTGACGAAATAAAATTTGATCATAAAATACTTGGTTCTGCCATAAAACACATGATTGCCAAAGATAACTATAGCAACCTGATTGTCAACAAAAATATTTGTTGCTCCTTCTTGTGCATGCTCCAAATCTGATAACAACTTCCTAGCTCGACCATAGAGCTTGATTTACAGCAGCAGCTGCTGCAATATATTCTGCTTTTGCTGTAGATTGAAAAACAATATCCTGCTTATTAGAATTCCAAGAAAAACACCCATAATCAAAGCTAAATATGTACCTAGAAATACTTTTCATATCATCACATAATCATGCCCAATCACTATCAGCATAACAAGTAATTTGAACTTTTTTGACTTCTCAAACACAATACCAAAATCAATTGTGCCTTTAATGTATCTAAGTTCCCATTTGGCAGCTTTAAAATGCAACTTACTTGGACAATGCATGAATCTAGATAACGAACTTACAACGAACATAATGTTAGGCCTTGTTGCATTAAGTTACGTTAAACAACCTATAAGGCTTTTGTATAATCCTTCATCAACTTTCTTAGTACCATCATCTTTGCTCAGTTTTTCGTTATGCATTAGAAGAGTGCTTATGGACTTGCAATGTTTCATGTTGAATTTCCTAAGCACCTCTTTAGCATATCTTTGTTTTCCAATGAAGATTCCAAGTTATTTTTGTATCTCCATGCCAAGAAAGAATGACATCTCTTTCAAGGCTGTCATCTCAAACTCTTTCATCATCTGCTCCTTGTCTCTTGCTTGGAAAGCACCTTCAGTGACTACTGCCTTTCGTCTGATTACTCTTCTTTGCTCCTGAGCTTGAAGGGAATTCATCAACTCAAATAAAAAAATTTGCGTGAGACCCTTGGAATCTTCAAGAGATGATATCTTAACTTCAAATCTCTCTGGCAAACTTACTAGTGCCTTCTTTACGACTCTTCTGTCATTTAATGTTTTACTAGTTAACTTGATCTGATTGACGATTGCAAGAAGTCTATCAGAATGCTCCTTTATGTATCATGTTTCTTTCATTCTTAAAAGCTCAAATTCCCTCCTGAAATTTAAAACTTGCATTTGCCTTGCCCTGTCATTCTCTTAAAATGCTTCCTTGAGCATATCCCACACATGCTTTGCACTTTTACAAGCGGCGATCCTTGTGAAAACTTCATCTATTACAGTTGAGTAAATGCAGGCCTTGGCCTTCGATCTTTCTTCTTTTGTTCTCTTTGATCTCTGATTTCTGCCATTATTGGATCTTTAGGCAATGGTTGTAAGTCATCATTCTCAACCATGTCCCAAAGATCACAGGCTTCCAGGTAGTACTTCATCTTTACCATCCAAAACTAGTAATTCACACCTGAGAAAACCGTTGGTGTTGACAGAAAATTATTTCCTGCCATTGTTAATTATCTTGCAGAGGTTTAGTGTTTATTTTTAGTGGAAGGTTCCTCACAGATTCACTCAACACAGATCCTTTAAGAACAAGATGGGCTCTAATACCAATTTGTAGATTCTCAGAAAGCACAAAGGTTTTTTTGGAGATTGAACTTCTCTACTATTTTCATTGATGGTGCTGAATTTATACAAGAAAAATTAACAACCAATACCAAACAAGAAAAAAAATTCTACAAAATATGATACTGATAAAACAAAAAAAAAAAATACTCAAATCAAATTCAAAAATTCAAAGTCTTGAATTGTTCAAACTTAATCAGCTGCAGCCTTGATTGATGCACTTCCTTCGCAGCAAAATATGCAGACTTCTTCAATTTCCTTCGACAATGAATGCATTTCTAACCTTGACTGAATTTCCTCAATTTTCGCTAGCACTCCATTGTTTATGATTTGTGAGCTAATGTTTTGGAGTGAACATAATATCCTTTGGACTTGAAAAGGCAGCAGAGCGCAGAAATTCCAAAGGGGTACTGGCCATTCCAGACATGGCCCGCATAGGGACTGATGATTGTGTGGAATGCCCTCCAACATTCAATGGAATGAATGGTGCTTGTGATACTGATATGGGCATTTGACCAGTTGGTGGCCCAAACATAGCTGAAGCTGAGAATGGTGCTGGAATGCAGCCAACGCCCATTTGCATTAATCTCATATTCGTCCCCACACCCATAGGAGAAAATTGAGCTAATTGTGGTGCATATATCATCATACGTTGCATTCCTGTTGGTAACATCGTTGGAGACATACAAAGCCCAGTTCTCATCGACATTATCTGCCCCAGGATACGAAACCACGGTTAGGATTACAGCAAGTATACATGTAATTATGTATGATTACCATGATATGCACGTCTCGTGGGTGTGTGTGTGTGTGTGTCAAAAACAGGAAGGAAAAAAGTTATATATACCTGTATTTGAAGCTGAAGGGATCTTATATGGTCAATTGCCTCATCAAGCATTGAAGCTTTATCCACCTTACAAACACAGGTAGCAAAAGTGAGCCTCGTAACCAAAGAAATGCAAATGATTATGAAAGAAAACATATAGTATCATATATATATATATATATACAGCACAATAAATTTTGGATGTTAATGCTTTTGTGAGGACGAAAAAAATAATAATAGATTGAGTTGTATTTCCATTATACTTATCATTAAAAACGTTTTTAATAATTGGTCCGCATGTCAAGAGAAATAACTAAGAAATTTAAATCTTCATTGATTGCTACACATTTAAAATTAATTTTGGCTCAATTGTAATTGCAATCCTTATTTAATAGGGATTCACATATGAAAATAATTTTGGCTCCATTATAATCGCAATCCTCTTTTAATAAGGATTCACATATGAAAATAATTTGGCCCACAAAATAGTTCTTTTTTTCCAATAAAAGTTAGTTTTCACGTTATTTTTAAAAATAAAATCAATCCATAACTATATATAAAAACATGAAACTCCATAAAAAATTTTGATTGACTATTATACTAATATTATAATATTCTTTCAATAATAATAAGTAAAATTCAATCACTACTTTATTTAAGAAAAAGACTAATATCATCAAAATTATTAAAAATAAAAATATTAATTTCTAAAAAAATAGACTAGTTTTTTTAGAATGAATCATAAATATAGGTTAATCACATTTTTTTCATTATTTATACTCACGTAAAACTCTAAATAACATAAAACAACATGCTTACATCACTCTTAAACTATATAGTACTACATGTATGAATATTTCACTTTGACTATTGAAACTCTAAAGAGACTTTAAAACAACCTAATAAAAAATGTAAATCATTAAAATAAAAAAATAATTAAATAATATCAAAAATCATAAAATTATTAAATTAAATATTTAGTTATTTTTTATAGTGGTTATTGAGTTACGGTTTTATATATATATATATATATACTCTTTTGCACAACTACTGATAATATTAAAAAAAAAAAAAGAAACATTTATTACAAGAAATAATTTATAAATTTTTTTATTCATGCATATATTATCAATTTATATTCTTGTCACATATATAATTAAAAATAAATATTTAAAATTAAGAAGTTTCATAACCATATAACGCTAATTGAAAATGTTTTAGGAATTATTATTTTTAAGAGTTATATATATTTATCTAACTATTAACTATTATTATTATTATTATTATTTACTATCAAAACTCTAAAAAGATTTTAAAACAAGCCAATAAAATCTTAAAATATTAGAATCTGAAAATAATTAAATTACATTAAAATTCATCAAGTTATTAAATTGAACATTTAGCTAATTTTTTATAGGTTATTTTCTGTCGTTATTTTTTACTTTTTTGGACAAACTCTGTTAATACTGAAAAAGAAAAAATTTTAAAAAAATAATTTATAAAATTTGTATGCATGTCTATATTGTTAATTTATATTCATGTCATGTATAATTTAAAAAAAAACTATTTAAATTAAAAATAATTTATAATAATATAACGTTAGATGAAATCTTTTTAATAATTATTACTTTTAAGACTTATATGTATATTTATTTCAACTACTAATTGTTAATTTTTGAAAAATTAATTCAATTTTTTGTCAGGTTTTTATTAAGGCCAGTTAAAAATTATTTTATATGTTTCAAGTGTTAAAAAGAAAATTTTAATTATAATCATCAGAATTTACATAATATTATCTGAAAATTAAAAAAAAATTTGTTTATTTAATAAACATTTAAATTTATTCATTTATAAATAATTTTAAAAAATTTATTAGAAATTAAATTTTTACTGTAGATGAGCTAAATGATACACGTGCTAAACAAGTGTCAAGAAATTAGCATTGATTAAATTTTAGATGAAAATGGTGCCAACCTGATTTGAATTGGGTATTAGATCCTGTAATGCACGCATCTTCTTGTTGATCTTATCTCTTCTCCTCTGCACGTAAACACATATTCATGTATGCATAACAGCTAATTAGATTTGTCAAAGGATTTCTCAGCTTATTGATTTAATTAACCAATGACATCACACTAACCCTTTCACACGGATTATGGACTTCTGCTCGCTTTCTCTTCGAACCTGCAGTTCCTCGAGCAGGCACTGGTTCTTCTTCCTCAACATCCTGGGCCATTTGTAAGACATGAATTTTGTCAGAATAAGGGGGAAATGAAACAAAGAAAAGGATGACAAGTTTTACTAATTCACGTACATCGCTTGTGTACGATGTATCCTCTGTGTCTTCATGTGATCTCCTTTCGAAATAAGATGTTGGATCATTTGAAGCTCCTCGTGAGCATATTGAAGTAGTTGCAGCCTGGTGATCTATAGATTTTCCTTTATCAGGCTTTTCCTTTATTGTTTTTCCTGCGGAGCGTGAGGTTGAACCTAGAAACCGATCGCAGTACCTCTTACTGCTAGTGGCATCGTTACTGAGAACAGCTTCAGAATGTTCATCTGAGGGTAAAGCTTCTAGAGGCCTAGCAATTGGTCCTGTAGGAACTATCTGACTCGCAAATAGATCTTGTTGGTCACGGAAATATTTAACAGCTTTTGAAGAACTAGTTGGCACCATCTGTCCCGACTCAACAAGATTTCTAGCACCTGCTGGAGGCTCGTCAGGGTTGCTTTTCAGTTGCTGAAGTCTTGATGATATAGGACGGCTTGTTGGCCTCGTTGCACCGCTGCCCTCATTAGGTGTAGGAAGAGATGGCCTTAAAATGGGGGAGAAGTTCTGCAGCCCCAAGTGATCGTCAGGTCCAGAATCCACCTGCTGCAGCTTTGATTTGGGCAGTCCTTGGAGTATTGGATCTGAAGCTTTGCTTTGCTCCAAGGAAGTCTGATGTAGCTGACTATTACTAGCTCTTGTAAGCTGAGGAACTTCTGCTGCAAACTCTGACGCCTTCCCCGGTCGCGAATTTGCACTTTTATACCCCGGAACGACATGGGCCTGCGTGATATGCTTATCAAAATTAGTTTCATTGTGTTCAGAAAGCATGTTGAAATTAGTTTCACGTAATCCAGAGAATAATTCAGGATGGTAATCATCTTGCACAGCTTTGTCACCCTTGGCGATTTCTCTATCTCCTATCAAAGGAAAATCGCCCAACTTAGCATCCACAGTTCCTAATCTTGGCCTCTTTGTAGTGTAGCCATCACTCCTATTCTCGACTTCATCAACATTTTTTATAGGATGAGAGCAGTAACTTGTGCATGAGCGACTTGTTGGCAATCCTCGCATAAGAACCTGACCACTTTCCCACACCAATTCCATATATTCGCGATCAGCCCTGCATTAAAAAATAAAAAAATAACCTGTCAAACAAATGCATCCATGAAAAAATGTCTCCAAGAAACAGGATATGCTAAGTTGGTTTAAAAAATAACATACATGGAAGCTAAGCTAGCCAGGAGGGTCGTCCAGAACTGGGTTGATTCTAGCCAGGCGTCTCTTCTGCTACTATCTGAAGGTTAAACTTTATTGTGAGGTCAGACTTGACAATGAGGATATTTTATGCTACCATCCTTGGTTAAAGACAATCCGAAGCTCTGCTTTATTCATTCCTTTTTTCCCTTCTCCTTGCTTTCCTTTTTGATATTTTTTTCCTGAAGAGAGTATAAAGAAGGAAACCACAATGATGGTGGACCAGGAGATATCGGCCAGAGTCTGTGATAGGATATCTGGAGGTTTATCAACCGAAAGGATAACTCCACGTGGTCCAATTCCAATTTATACACACGACTAGGTTAGCCCCGGTAAATAGCGGTTCCATGTTCAACCACTTGAATTATAAAACCAAAGGAGAAATTTTATAATACATGATTAATAATTAATAATATTTACAGTAATTATTTTTATAAATTTATTTTAAAAAAAGATATAGATATAGTAAATTATATCTTGACTCATCAAAAATAAAAATAAAAAATTTAAATTCATTCAATTTTTTTAAAAAAATTTTTTATGTTTTTTTTATATATTTATCTTTTTTTTCAAAATAAATTTATAAAATAATTTCTATCTATGTCTTTAGTAATTCATTTTGCGTTATAAAATGTCTCAAAATAAAGAGTTGATGTGAGAAAACATCAAATCATGGTGTCAATTTAAAACAGAAACTATGACAATGCCCTCCTTGATGGAAGATTCTTCGGTAGCCAAATGAGATTCAAGCATTCACAGAAAACATGTGTACATGATTTAACCACGTCTCTAATGGACTATGGTGTTGAAGGTCAGTGTCCACAACCAGAAACTGGACCCACTTGCTGCTACAAATACGAAAAAGTACCTGCTCATGTGTTAGCTCATGGAAGCCAAGCAGTTCTTTGGGATATGAAATTGGAAGCAATTATTATTATTATTATTATTATTACAGCTGCTGCTCCTCTTGTTTCCATGGTGAGTAATCGATATTTTGGTGTAAATTGATAAAATTGGAAATTAAGTTTTAAATTTGTTAAAAATTAAATTTTAAATATTAAATATGTTGTTAATAAGTTATTTAGTATTTATTAAAAATTAAGTATCGAATATAATAAAGTTGTTTGATAAGTATTATTACTTAACATATTAAGATCGTATACATGATAATTTTAACCTTATAGTTATAATATGATATTGTTTTAACATAAATATATGTGTGTGTAAATATATAAATAACTATGATTAATGCATAATATTGCAATTTTATTTATTTGATAATAATAAAAACATCACAAAAATCTAAGACTATTGTCAAGATTTTTCTTTTAGTGGTACAAATTAAATTTTATTTCAATAGAATTCTCAATCGCGCGAAACACCAAAAATGTAAAAAAATTTTACAAATATTAGTTCTTAGTTCTTCCTTAATCCAAATTCAGTACAAACCGTGTGAAATAAATTTGCCTAATCACACAGCCATATGTCTTATTTGCTAGAACAACTATGTTGTCCATACATGTCAAATTTTTATTGGCTGGTTTTCAACCTTACAAAGAAATTCTCATATGCATTTGTTCATGCATAAAAAAATAAATAAATGAATGAATAAAATTATCTTTGGAATAGAAAAGGTTACAATATAAGATCATTTCTCAATCGATTTGTATAGTTAGAATTATAAGAATATATGAAGACTATATAATCATATTTAAAAAGTTTTAAAATTTTTTTAACCGAGCGTGTTAATAAAAAAATTTTAAATTAAAAACTTTAATTTATTTAATTAAGCAAATTTTGACTGAATTTAAATTTAAAAAATGAGATTATTTAGATTATCAAACAAATTTTTTATATTAAGTATTACAACTTAATTTTTTAAATCACTTAAATATGTTATTAACAGTAAACTTCTTAATTTGTAACTATAGCAGCTCCAAAATGTCAGGATCTGTTTCCTCCTCATCTCATGAAAAGATTGGCTTTTTTAGCTTAAACTTCAATAAACTAACAAGCATCTAATCCATAAAAACACCTTGAATTATATATAACCTACTTTCATAGAAACTTCTTGAATTGTTATTATTTCTTCTTTTTTTATTTCAACCTAAAAACTATTCAATAATTTATTTGACATTCATTTATTACATTCCATCCCTTTTTTTCCCTTAATTAATGCGTCTGAGTTGCATTTTTTTTAATGCTAAAAGATGGGTATTACCGCATCCAAAATATTATATTTTAGTAATTTTCGATCCAATATATGAAATTACGTAATTTAAAATTCAAAGTATAAAGGATTGGACGAATTTGATTCAAATTATCCAATCTTCATTATTTATAACGATCAACTATCAATTGATCGTTATTTAATTTTTTTGGATCCTCTTTCATTTTAACTTTTTTTCAATTATGCCTCATTCCTTCTTTCTTCCACCAACAAAAAAAAAAAAAAAAAGTTACGGTCTAGACCGTCGCTAACTCGGTGAAATCTGTCGCTAATTTTAATTAGCGACGATCCAAAAACCATCCATAAAATGCTAATCACTAAAATTTTACGACGGTTTTTGGATCTGTCGCTAATTTAGCAATGGAAAAAACCATCACAAAATTAGAAAAAACCATCGCAATTTTACGACGGTTTTAGCGAGGGTTTTGGACGATCGCTAATTTTAATTCCGTCGCAAACAAAATTAGCGACGGTCTAGACCATTACTAAAATATTATTATTGTTTTTTTTACCTTCATTTTAAATTAACCAATTGCTAATTCTGTCGCAAAAAAAATTAACGACGTTCTAATTTTTTTTTTTTTACCCTCATTTTAAATTAACCAATTGCTAATTCTCGTTGCAAAAAATTTAGCGACGGTCTAGATCGTTGCTAAAATATTATTATTATTATTATTACCCTAATTTTAAATTAACCAATTGCTATTTAAAAGTCTACAAAATACCCAAAACATAATATTTTATAATTTTTATTATAAAATTTATTAAAATATAATAAATATTATTCAATTATTAAATTCTTAAATAAACTTAATTACTAATTAATTTTTTAGTTTCTAGATATAATTTACAAAAAAATTAATTTTTTAATAACTACTTAATTTCGTAATTAATTAACTCTTTTACTTAATCAACAACTAAATAAACTTAATTATTAATTAATTTTTTAATTACTAAATAAAATTTCAAAAATTAATTTTTAATTATTTAACTCCTTTACTTAATCAACAACTAAATAAACTTAATTACTAATTGATTTTTTAATTACTAAATATAATTTCAAAAATTATTAATTTTTTAATGACTAATTATTTTTGTAATTAATAAAAATTTTAAATATTTCTAATAACTTATTAACAATTTTCTAAAATAATTAACTTTCCAAAATACCATCAATTAAACTAACTAAATTAATAAATAACATTTAACAATAAACTAACTAAATTAACAATTAACAATTACCGATTAACAGTAAGAATTAAACTAATAACGATAACAATTAAATTTCCTTAACAATAAAATTAACAATTAAACTCTCACAATTAATAAAATTTAATAACAATTAAATTTTCTTAACAATTACACCGACTAAATTAACAAAAAATTAACAATAACAAAAAAATTTAAAATTAAATTAAGTAAATAATTGAAAAAAATTAAAAAATTACTTAAAGGGTTAGATGAGAGAGAACCTTTCACTAACATAAAGAGGAGAGTGGGTTGTGCCAATGGAAGGGCTTCGTCGGACTATTCTGGCTAGAAAATGGTCGGTTGAGGAAGGGGGATAGAGGAAGAATGAAAAAGGAAAACGAGGAAGAAAGGGGAATAGGAGGGGAGAAAGGGAAGGAGGAGAGAGGAGGAGATTGGAAGGAAAATAAAAAGGAGAGGGGGAAGATTTGATGGAAATGGAAGGGAGATTGGCGCCGAAGAAGAAGAGAAAAAGAGAGAAGAAAATTTTTCTTGTAAATTTTCAGGCAAATTTTTATATAGGGGTTGAAAGTTTTAGCGACGATCTCAAAATCGTCACTAAAACCATCGCTAAATGTTTGAAAAAGTTGAAAAATAGCCACTTTTCTCTTAATTAGCGACAGCTTTTAGACCGTTGCAAAAAGGTCTGGAAGAAATAATTTTTTTAAAAAAATTTGAAATTAGCAACGATTTTTTTGAAAAAAAATCATTGCAAAAAACTCGTCTCTAATAAAAAAACCGTTACAAAAATTGGTAGCAGTAAAAATTTTATTTAAAAAATTGAAATTAGAAACGATGTTTTTTGAAAAAAACCATTGCAAAAATGAATGCAAACATCTTTTTTTAAAAAAATGAAATTAAAAATCATTTTTTTGGAAAAAACCATCGCTAATTTCTCTCTCTAAAGTGCTTCAAACCGTCGCAATTTTAGTAAATTAGAAACAATTTTGAGACCATCGCTAATTTTCCCTTGCAAATCCTTTGTTTTTTTGTAGTGTTTATTTGCTTTTTTTTTCTTTTCGGTCCTTTTTTTTTCTTTCAGCTTTGTTTTGATTTTTTTTTCTATTGTTCTTGTTTTCTGTTTTTTTTTTCAATTTTGTCATGATTTTTTATAGTTGTTTTTCTTTTCCCAACATTCTTTTTTTTTTTCAATTGCTTTCCCAAATATTAAGAAAAAAATGCCAACATTTTTAAAATCATGAAAATTTTAAAAATAACTTAGAATTGCAAAAAAAAAAAAAAAAAAAAAAAAAAATCTTTATTTTTTTGGATTTTTGAAATTTTTGTATAAATAATTTTTTATAAAAATTTTGAAAAAAAATATTTTATTTTTTGGATTTTTGGAATTTTTGAACAAAAAGTTTTTTTTCAACATTTTATAAAAAAAATTATTTATTTAAAAATTCCAAAAATCCAAAAAATATAAGATTTTTGGAATTTTTGAATATCTAATTTTTTATAAATTTTTTTAAAAAAATATTTATTCAAAAACTCCAAAAAATAAAAGATTTTTTTTCAAAATTTTATTTCAAAAATTATTTATTAAAAAATTCTGAAAATCTAAAAAATAATTTTTTTTTTTTTTTTTTTGCAATTCCAAGTTATTTTAAAAATTTTCATGATTTTAAAACATATTGGCATTTTTTCTTAATCTTTGGGAAACCAATTGAAAGGGAAAAATAAGAATGTCGGGAAAAGAAAAACAACTACAAAAAATCATTACAAAATTTTTTTTAAAAAAGAAACAATAGGGAAAAAATCGAAACAAAGCTAAAAGGAAAAAAAAAGGAGGACCGAAAAGGGGAAAAGAAAGCAAATGAAGAAAGAAAGAATCGGGACATAATTGAGAAAAGTTAAAAAGAAAGAGGATCTAAAAAAATTTAAAACATTGGTCCGAAATTGCCAACATACGATACTTTGAGAGCAAAAAATGTTCTATTACCATAAAAATATTTTTTGCACTGCCATAAAATTATCATAAAAAAGAGGATCTAAAAAAATTTAAAACATTGGTCCGAAATTGCCAACATACAATACTTTGAGAGCAAAAAATGTTCTATTACTATAAAAATATTTTTTACACTGCCATAAAATTATCATAAAAAAAATCAAAATCCAACTACCTCATGACTTTGTTTTATAATTTTTTTTATTCTTAAGGAAAACATATGTTTACTCGAGATATTCAATGAGTAAATTAGACCAAATTTTAAAAAGCAGTGAGAACCAAATCCTATAGTTTTATTAATGGTTAAAATAAAAAATAATTGTTATAGGATGTTTGTATATATATATATATATATATATTTTTTTTAATGTTCAGCAAGAAAGGCATCATTCAGATTTTTATATCTCGAGTTTACTTTTTTTTTTTTTAATATAACCAAATGACACTCTTCAATGCTTGATTTTATATATTTTAAAAATAAATTTTTAGAAATATTCATAGTAAAAATTAAATTTTAGACCTGATGTATAAATCGATATTTATTTATCTACGCATTATAGTTTGATTGTTTGTATGTTAAGCTAACTATGAAACTCAAATTCAACTCCCTCTGTCTTCTTTAAAAATTTGACCTTTTAGAAGTGCAAAATGTCAGCATAAAATTGACCTACTTCCATTTTCATTTTCTAAATGAAAACTGAGATACGGCTTCGCTGAAGCCTTTATATTGGTTGTTCGAACAGTCGCTTTCGTCATCGTTTTTTGAATTGAAGAAAAAGCGAAGTTTGCAAGGAAACTTCGATAATGAAAACGACACCACTAGAACCACGACATGTGCCCCTCCAGGAATTTAAGATGTCCTCGTGGAGCAAGGGTCCTACGACGAGAATAGGCATTTTCATGGAGGACCCCATACCCAACGTCCAGTTCTAGTGGGACATACTACCTCAAGAGACGCTACTACTCATTTTTGCCTCAAACTTCTCGAACCTCAGATTCACACTCTACGTTATTTCAAGTTTGACAAGAAAAGCAGAAGGCAGATAAAGCAAAAGGTTTGCACTTCACGTGCAACCTCGTGATCATTCACGTGCCTCTTTGTTTTTCTGTCTGGAGTCTGCACCTTTTGCCCCTCTCTAAGCACCTACTGACTGACGGAAACAAAATCAGAGCCAATCCAATTCAACAATCAGATAAGGATTGATTACCGATAAAAACACACATTGCCATCACTCATTAGACGATGTAGCCCCCACCATCAAACCATGAATGGCAGCAACACTACCCATACCAATTCTTTTTTATTTTTCAACTGCCAAATTTCAAAACGACCCTTGATTAAATTGTGCCATATCTATATCTTTTTTCTTTTTTATCTTGATAAAACGATATCTAATATCCTTTCTGGGTTCTAAAATGCCAAAATGATAATCCACATCCTCCACGTTCTGTCATATCACATATGTTATCACCTAGGAATTCCATGGCCGCTAAAATGGATATAAATGGAATATCTATAAACTTATGGCTCATCCCAGCAAAGCATGTCAATACTGTCTTGAAGCTCGTTTTGCACCAGACATGGTTTGCTGGTCAGTTGAATGTGGATAATTGAGGGGTGTATCCCACAAAATCTATTCAATCTCCTATAACACGTTGGAGCAGGAACACCGACAGGCCACCAAACAAAAAAAAAAAAAAAAAAAAACGTTTTCTCCTTCTAGAAGGCACTGCTGAAAGATTAGTACGTAAGCAAGCAAATTGCCAATAAAGACTCAACGGAAATCCTAAAGCAACTTAAAGTAACATTGTTAAGTTCATTTATAGCGAAAAGGTTCTATTCATACAGGGACAGACTCTAAACTTGGACTACCCTTAATTCAATCCCATGAACTACTACGCTCTATATTTTCAGAAATGAAAATCTGGAACAGTAGAACATACTTCTACAATTATGAACTGATAACTCATCCAAAGGCAGCTTAAGGAAGAAAGGCTTCGAGCTATCTACTCTGTTGTTGACTATTAAATGAATAATCTCAGTATTGTTTACCACAAAGCTAAACTGCAACACCGTGGACTTATGACCAAAATTTTCATGCTGCAAGGAGTTGGTTGTCACGACAATTAAAGCATGGTTCCAAGCGCAGTTACGAAATGAATGACAAATTCCACAGAATGATGTGCGATTTTGTAACATAGGGAAGCCTTCCGAGCTCAACCTCTACGAACTCGTAAAACCTTCTGCCTCTTCCTCACTCTGGTCTCTGTGCAAAGTCCCCATCTCGTTAGCCATCAGTTAAAACCCCGTCAACATAGACCACCCTCATTCAAGCACTCGGCTACAACATACTTCAACTGGAGCATTTTTTCCCTTGCTGACTGCATTAAATGAATGACAGAAAATGTTCACATTAGCTTCACAAGCTTTCTTTCAGTTATAAACACTAACAGACCTTTTTTTTTTAATGGCATAATCCTAGATGCATGAGCATATAACCTTCAATAGACAACTACTTGAGAAATCTCTAAGTGTAACTATAAACTTTAAAGGTTGGAACACTAATAGACTAATGAAAAGGACTAGTTCATAAGCTTCTGGACAGGTAAGTGTCACCCAGGAATTTGGATGTCTTGCCACCTTCTCAAAATTAAATGCCATACCAAAGGATGCGACAAAGCAGCATATCCACACAGGCAAAGGCCATAGAGCATGCAACGATACAGTTATCGGGGAAAATATATCCACACAGGCAAAGGCCATAGAGCATGCAACGATACAGTTATCGGGGAAAATATACCCACACGGGCAAGGCCATAGAACATGCACCGATATGGTATGAAATGCTGACATTCATATTTCCTAAAATAGAAGCAGACTTGCCTTGTGCACAGCTGTGATTCTTCTTTGTGCATCATCTAGCTGTGTCTCAACTGCCTCTTCTGCTTGCATGAGAAGCTTTTGGTGTGATGCTTCTGCAATATAAAGATAGTCAATAAACATAAAACTAGAGTTTTTCAGAGTTCCCACAAATGATACATCTTCGTTCAACTCTGTTTCTGTTGTTACCAGACTGAGGCACATTAGCTTATCATACAAAGCCTTAGACCAAGCTAATGGCATTTAGATACTACCATGTTGTGTCAAAACTTAAGTCATACCACCGCAACAAAAAAGACATTGCAAATGAAGTAGCTTTATCAATGCAAAATGATAAATCCATAATATGCGCACTTATGTACATTCCTGTCGAGGTCCAAAGCACAAAAGAGATAGTACATATGACTATCATTAATCTTCCACTTACGTACCAATACCCAAATGGTCGAGCATGTCAATCAAAGAGCTTCCCTGATATGTTTCTATCCCCAAATCATTTACACCAAATGGAAACTTTGCAAGTCAAAAATTAATTTACGTTGGATATACAAGTAACCATTTAAAACTTTTATGTAACGTAAAAGAAGTCAATTAAAAACAATTTCGAAGTTGTTGATCAACTTGAAACTTCAATTATCACAGATACACCACAAGCACGTGTTTGTATATGCACCTCAAAAGTTAAAAAGTAGTAATAAAAACATAGGAATAATATGAAATCAATTAAACACATTTCAGTAACTTATGTACTAATAAATTTACTTGCTATAGCATATGCTGCCATACTTTGCTTTTTCACAGTTCCTTTGAAGTCAATCTGGTGCAATTCTAGTCCTTCAAGCGTGATTTTACACTCCTGGAGATGCTGATAAATATCTTGTTTGAATTTATCATTTATCAACTTTAGTTGTTCTTGTTGTTCTGCAGAGAGAGAGAAATAGTAACTAGAACACCAGCTATTCAAGCTTCAGCAAGATGAAAAATCTCAGACAAGGAATTGATCCAAAATAACAGCTAGATGACCATTAAAAAGGTAAGGCAACAGTAAGCTGAATAGAATTTATCAAACACACAGAACCTTTATTTAAAGAAACATGCATGCCTCGTATGGATCTGCATATGAGTTGCTAAAACCTACTTTATAAACAATCAATTCATATACAATGATAAGGGGAACTAACATTAGAGATACAAAAGATTTCATTAGAAGCAATTCAAAGTCATTATTAATACAGCGATTGGTAAAAAAATTGCATGTTTTTATTCTGAAACTAGTTTACATCTCTGATCTCCAGCAAGATAAGCATGAGACTCCAGGAGTTCTTGATAGGTGTAAAGTCATTAATACAGTAATTGGTCAAAATTTCGAATATTTTTATTCTGAAGCTAGTTTACATCTCTGATCTCTGGCAATATAAGCATGAGACTCAAGAAATTCTTGTTAGGTGTAAAGTCATTAACACAGGAATTGGTCAAAATTTTGAATGTTTTTATTCTGAAGCTAGTTTACATCTCTGATCTCTGGCAAGATAAGCATGAGACTCGAGAAATTCTTGATAGGGGTAACTCACTTGTCAGTTGATGGATCCTCATGTCTTATGCACTAGTGTTTCGAAACGGGAGGTGCTAAGTAACGTTTGCAAGCTAATAAAAGGGATTGTTGGATATTATAAATTGTGTATTTGCATTGCAAAATGGATGGCTAATGTTAGTTCAAAAATGTGTTAGGTCGACCCTAAAGAAGAAAATAATACACCATGATATTCAACAATGATATGCTTGATTACGATGACATTTGGATAAATTTAAATAGCAGTAAATATGAAGCCGCCTTATAGCAAAAAAAAAAAAATCATTACCTTCAAATCTTGACTCCAGACGTTTTCGTTTCGATTTACTAACACTTGACAGCTTCCCCCTGAAACATTATCAAGATTAGACCTAATAGCTGACTTTTACAATTAGAAAATCAATTAGTTTAAAAAAAACGTACAGATCTGTTTGGATTTGCGCCTCAATATTCCGCAACTGTAGATGCACCTCCTCTGAGACAGACACCAAAATATCAGACGATTTCTTTCTAGTCTCCAACTCCATTTTCTTTGTGAAGTTTTCTAAAGCCATGACAAACAGCATGATGACCCTGAAACATATTTATGTCCAAAATCAAGCAAAAAGTAAAACGTAATGGTATTTAATAGTTTGGATCCAACTACAAACTTCTCATTTCTGTCTTAAGTGCAGAAAGGAATACCTTTCCAGTTCATCCCCTTGGTTTAGTTCTGAAATCTCAGGATTCAACTCAGTTTCAAAAATGCCTAAGAATTTATTTAACAGAGAAAGAACAAATTATAAAGGCAGATGATGGCAGTAACTCTGTGGACACGGAGCAGAAAGTGTTACTATGTTATAGGAAGTGCCTGTTGGACAGGATGAGGTGGGACTAAAGTTTCTGACTTTTCCACCATTGTGGTTGCGGAGCCTTTTAGTTGGATGAAGCATGAGCTTTAATCTTTCAGCAGTTGCAGTTTCTGGAGAGAAGTTTTCCCCTTCTCTACGAACTGCACACCATGAATAAGGAGGTAATAAAAAGAGAAAAACAAAGAAAATAATGTGTGAGAACAACATAAAATGATCACCTTTAGTACTTGGTGAGCATTCTATGACAAGCATATAAGAGCAATAATATAGTCGTTACCCTTGACAATCGGTGAACCTTCTTCAGAGCTCTCAGAGTATCCACCTTCAGGTGATGATTCAGAAGGTGATGATTCAGAAAGACAGCCTTCCGCATCTTTTTTCCCCTTAAGAGGTGATGTTTTGCTGGGTGGCAAATCCATAAGTTCTGCTGCAACGTCCTGAAGTTCAATAAGGAAATGCAAAAAAAAACAAAAAAAAGAAACCTTAGACATCACAAACATGATGGTACACTATCATGTTGTAGCCTCAAAATAGTTAAGGATACAGGTGATTCTGTTAGAATATTGGAGGCAAAACAATCTGCCTTTGAAGTCCGCAAAGTCCTGAAGCTATGGATTTTTCCCACAGTAAAGCTTCTCGCTGCTTGTTCAGGACTATAAAAAACCTGCTTTATCTGATCAGATTTTGGCATTGAGCTTTGGGGGAGCTTAAGATAGGGGAATTGATTTTGAATGTTGGACTCTGGAAATCATCCTGTGGGTCGACAGCAATATTTGAGGAGGGAATATCAAAGTTTTCTTGTTGATCCCCATGTTCAGGTACTGCTGATTTGCTAAGATCCTTATGTTGATCAGTCCTGTGTGTCCATAGAGACTGATGGGAATCTTCACTTGCAGATTGATGGGAATCTCTTTCTTGGTTTCTATTCTTCAGTACAAGGTACTCTCTCTTATTCCTAGAAGATCCATGAAAATGTCCCATTTTATTGCTAAGAGAAGATGTTTTCTCAGCAGGGAATGGTGTTTCCATTGCATATTGTTGGGAATCTCTTTCTTCGTTTTTATTCTTTGGTTCACAGTAATCTCTCTTATTCTGAGAAGAACCATGAATATCTTCCATTTTATTGCTAGGAGAAGATATTTTCTCAGCTGGGAGTGCTCTTTCACTCTTGTGACTTCCTTCATGAATCTCATCTGCATTGTCATTTTCACTGAAGCGAATCTTACGTGGTTCAATGCTGCAACTCTTTATCTGGCTCTTCTTCCTTGTAGAGATTGAGGATCCACCATTGACAGCAACATTTTGTTTTCCAAACAATCCTTCTTCAAATGAGAAGACATTCTTTTCTTGAAAATTTTGTCTGTAACGGGAGGATGGGTTAACTTTAGTTTTCTCTGGTTTCTGTTTGGACGAAGCTCTCTTTCGGGTCAAAGAACGAGTCACCGGTCTCCTCATGTTATGATCTGGACTTTCAGAATCAGTTTCTATGGTATCTGAGCTCTGTCTAGGATTGACAACTCTATCATCTGTTTGATCAAGAATTTGCTCCTGATTTAAATTTTTGGCACCAATCTGATGAGCCTGAGAATTAGATGGCTGACTTTTTGGTGAAGAAACATTTCCCAATATTTCCCATAATTTCATTTTCAAAGTTTCAGTTCTTCTCTCTTCTATTTTATCATTTGTCACCGCTTTGTCCAGCATACGGTCTTCTTGTGCAGCTGCAAATGTAAATTCCTCTTCTGGCTGTGAGTTTCTCTCCTTTCCTCCCTTCCTTTTGTAGGTAAATCCCCCAAACTTCTGCTTTCCATCACCAGAAAGTGAATTTGATGTTTGGTTGGAGAAAAACCATACTGAATCTGTAACAGGCACATTCTTTACTTTGCTAATCTTGTTCCTCCTCCCAGTAGAGCCTGGTATATTGGAAGTTATTACAGCGTGAAGGACATCCTCAGAAGTTGATGATTTTCGGGGAACAGATTTTTTAGTAATCCAAGGGGAAGGGACCTGCTCAGGAGTTTCAGTTTGTTTGCCTTTAGTAGCATCAATGACACCTTTTGCTTTGCTTTTACTTTCGACTGAACTTTCTTTCTTAGAATTTACCCTTTCTGTGTTTGATACTGCAGCCTCATCTTCTTTTGCACCTCCAGATCTTTTCTTCGGAAATGAGTCCATCAGAATTCCAATCGAAATCTTTCTAGATTGGCTAGATGGACGATAATTGCTGCCAAAACTGCGACAGTCACTCATTTGATCCTGAAACGTGTTACATAAAAGGAGTCAAATATTTAGTTTTCACAAGACTTCACCAAATTGCAATGGGACATCAACTAGTCATGGGAATTCCAGTTCCATTCCCATGAATATTATCTATGGAGTTAAATTTAATTCAAGGGTAATCCATGATCTGAAAACAATCGCTAAGAGACCAAGGTTTCCAGATTGCACAATACAGAGATCCAAACGATATCCATCAGCAACATGCAGCTGAACATGCCATACAAAGCAAAATTAAAATATTCATCACATAAGACTATATGAGCAGATAATCTCATAGGTAATCATAAAAAAATCACTGGGCTATTATTCCAACAAATAATACAGTTCACTGTAAGAATAGACAAAAAGCTTTAGCAACTAAGCATAAATCGTGTTGAAGGAGTTTCCATTAGCAGTATAATCCTAAGAATTAGGTATTCACCACTTACATTTTGTAATTTCTGCCGTGTATCAACCTCCATCATATTGCTTCAGCCAACTAGGTATGAAATGTATACCGCACAAAATCTGCAGCCCGAAATACACGCAAATCGGTGAAGTAGAGAAAAAAATTTAGGACCATGAAAAAAAAAATCAATAAAGCTCGGTTTATTTTAAAAACCAAAAACTAGGGCAGTTAAATTTAAGCAAAATCCACATAATCATCCACTCGGATCAGCTATTTCCTTGATATGAAAAATAAATAGTATAAAATTCTGCAGAAGATTGTAAGCTTCGGTCTCCTAATCAACAAAAGAGGATTCAGATCAAAAGAGAAAATGGAAAACAGTCCAGGAAAATTTCGAAGTGAAAAATTCACTGTTGATACAAGCAGATCTAAACCCAACACAAATTTCTACGAATAAGCACTTAAGATCAAATATCTGTAAACCCTATAATCTGCAATATACTCTTCGAATTCACTTTAACATGTAATTCATTACGTAATTCAGTTTCAAGCGCATGACATCTCAAACGAAGTTCGGTTTCGCATTTCGCAGATTAATCGCTGAATCAGAACAAATTAAGATAGTGAAATTTGAAAAACGAACTATACCAATCGCATATTTAGAACTGCGTACAGTAAACGCAGATCATCAAGTTAAGAAAAGTAAAAAGAAATAAGTAAGATTGAGCAGGACGAATAGATCTAAGCATTTGAATTGAAATTTTACAAGAATTCATAGGAGGAATCGCTTACTGATTATTCGACGGGGATGATCGCGGAGCTCGATTTTTAATTATTTTTAATAAGAGAATCGCAGAGAAGTGAGACGTAGTGAAGAAAGGTTTGCTGGAATGAAACAGAAAGAGAGAGGATTTTGAATTTTGGTGATTTGGAAATAAAAGAGTTGCCGGCACAAAACGAGGCGGGAAATGAAAAATGTGTTTCTTAATGAATCTTCAACGGCCTGCTTATTCTAACTTATTTAGTGTGCGTATCGCGCACACCCAGCTGGTCAAATAGACGATTATGCCCCTGCGTCATCATCTGGCAGTGTGGCATTGTGGGTTAAAACGCAAAAGGTGTCTTTGATTTTATCAACTTTTCTTTTGTGACAATGAGAAATTGTCAGAGAGATTTAAGTAATACTATATAAATAAATACAATGGTATTATATGATGATTCATCTGTTTTACCTGATTTTATGTATGTTATTGTTTATTTAGGAATGAATGGTTATCACACGCGTTACGCTGTAGATAAAAAAATCACATAAAATAATTTTAAAAAAATTAATTTAATTTAATAACCTGTGCTATATTTTGAGTTTGTCAAAATATATGTATTAAATATATATAAAAAAAATCATTAATTTTTTAATTAAAATTTTATATTTTCTTGTGATTTTTATAATTTTTTGTACAAAAAAATATGATTTTTTTTTTACTCATGAATTCTTAATTAAAAAATTATAATAATCTAAAAAGAAAATTTAATATAAGAGAAGTCATCGTATTTTTTATAAGATTGTGTCATTATAACAAAATAACAATTGATGTAAAAACTTATATAAAATTAAGTAAATGAAAAAATTAGTTTTTATTCTTATTTAATGTTGATGAGGATATTGATTTTTAAAAGTCTTTACATTTAATTTTTGATATATTCGTTCATAAAATTATCAACAATATCGGAATAAAAAATTGCATTTAAATAGTTGATTGGTTCTGCAAAATTATAGTTTTAATTATTTAATTTGAAATAAATTGATTTCATAATATAAAAAAATAAATACTAAATGGTTTGTGTTTTGTGATGTTGCATGATTAATTTTTAATAAAACCAACAATTTAATAATTTTTTATTTACGTAATAACTATATTGAGTGTGTTTAGAGTTTGTAACATAAAACATAAAATATTAAAAAATAATAGTTAATTTATTAGTAATATATTGAATAAATTTAAATTTAATAAAATAAAATAAAAACAATTACAAAATTAATTTCTATGAATTTTGATTATGTAAAGAAATATCAAATAAAACACATGGATTCCTTCTTCTTTTTCTCCTTGTTTTTTTTTTTTTTAGGCCATACGTGGTCAATCATCATGCACATGCTTCGCATGTAGAATTATGATTTAAAAATTTTCAAAATCCATCATATAATTGTATCGTTTATATTTTTTTAAAGATAAAAATAATTATATTCTAAAATTCATATGGATTTAAAAAAAAATTCATATTTGTTTGTAAATAAAGTTTAATAAAAATAAAAAATCAATTGGATGAAAATTTTTATAAGAAATGCCGAATTGAATGAATAAGTTTTGAATAATAAGAGTAATTAAATTTGAAATATATATTTTTTAAAAAATATAAAAATATATCTCATATATTTTTTCCTCTCCAGGTTGATGAGAAACCCATAAACAACAATTGATTATCCATAGTTTTCTCCCAATAATCCATAATAATAAAATAAAGATAAATTGATGAAAGAAAAAAAGTAAAAGAGTAGGAAAAAAAAAAAAAAAACAAAGCAAGACTTCAAAAAATGAAAGAAATAATTCGAGACAATAAACAATAATTTCTAACATAAAAAAAAAAAAAAAAAGCCGCAACAAATAGATATGTATTTAACCAAATAATAACAGAAAATGACAATTTTCTCCCTTTTCTCCCTTTCTGTATCTTTTTTGTTTTCTTTCTGTAACCAATCTATTAAAAAAATCATAAAGTTTGGGAAAAAAAAGAAAAGAAAAGAATAGAACCCTGTCAATCTAATTAGTTTACCAAAGGAGCGGAAGAAAAATTGGAGGTTATTAAAAATATTAATGGCTTTTCTACTCTAATTTCAAAGATTTATCCATCAAAGAGCTTAATTAGTCTAGTGGTTTAATGAAAAAAAATTACCTTTAAACTATTGGGCTATGACAATTCATAGTCTATACTATCAATTTAGATTACTTGGACCATAAATTATTTATTTTTGGAGCAAATTTTATCCTTCTCCATTATTGCCATTGTTTTTTTTTTCAGAATTAAAATAAATTTCATTTTTTTTTAATAATGTTTAGTTTTAAGGAAGCTTTGATGATATTGTTGTTTATGAATTTAATTTTTATCGTTAAATAATTAATGATATGTAATGGATTCATCAAGTAAAAAATATATTTTTTTAATAATTTATATTCATTTAAAAAAATATTTAATAATAATTAGCTTAAGGTAGCTTAGATGAATTTTTTTTTTATGGATCTTACTTTTTTGTTAGATAATTAACAACGTGCAATGGACGTATATAGTTTTTAAAAATTGAATTATTATTATTTTTAAAATTAATTTTAATTATAAAATGAATATGAAAACTCAAAATGACTCTTTGTTTTAAGCATTTTAGTTAACAATCAACATTTTGACTACAAAAAATACTAGAGAAGGATAAAATTTATAAAATAATTAATAGTTTGGAGTTCAAACAACCTAATTTGATAGTATAAATATTATTTTATAACAATCCTAATAGTTTATGGATAATTTTTACCATTAAATTAAATCATATTTTTGTTAATAATAGACGTTTTGACCGTTATAGATAACGAATGAAAGATATTATTTGTCCAAAAAATAATAATTTTAGGTCTAAATAGTTTAAATTCATGGTGTATATGATTTTTAAATTGTCAGAATCTAATAATTCGGGTAAATTTTTTTCCTTGACCTTTAATCTGAAAAAGCAAAATTATGCATTTAAAAGCTCTCATATTAGACTTGTGAAGTTACAAAAGAGGGCAAAAATAGAATATAAGGGCGAAAGAAAAGGGTTGTTTGTAGTGGATTTGAGAAGTTACGGAAAGAACGTGAAAGTGTAGAAAAAAATTAAATAAGAAAAGGTGATAGGGTAATCACACAGTCACTTGATGACAATCTAACGTAGATAGAGAGAAAAACAAAAAAGGCCAAAAAGGGTCGATGAGGATGGAAAATAAAAGTGCAAAAAATATGAGGACGAAAAGCAATGTTTGTAGGGACCGAAAGATGCACATGCATAAAATATATAATTTATCTGCAAAACACAAATGAGAGATTCAACGGTTGAGATCATTCCAGCAACAACAACACAACAATCAGACTATGGAGAAGAGCACAATGTAAATGTATTTTGGTCCACAGTGAAGTTGAGTTTAGATGAGTAGTGAATAAATAGTCGCAAGTCCTATTCTTTTAGTTTTGTTTGTTAATAATTTGCTTATTCTGAGCCACGGGGATCCAATTATTTACCAGATGGAAAATTAACAGGTTTAGGATTTTAAGATTTTAAGATTCATACCCATTTTAGAGTGGGATGGATGTGTAAAATGAGAGTTTTGATGTACAATAGTTAAATTCATGTTTATTTGCATAGTTTTTTGCATTTGTAGGATGCTTAAATGTATTTTTTTTTAAATGGAGATTTTCAGAAGAAACATAATTTATAAACAAACTTTTCATGCTAAATTTCTTGTATAAAATTGATGTATATAATCTATTAAGTGTAGAGTGC